CAGAGTACTAAGCGCCGCTTATGTAGAAGGAAGAGGATGCAATGCAAGTGGCTGTCGCCCCACCTCGGATGAAGCGGCACCCCGGGGATTACCTCCCTATGCCTGCGCGCGAAGCGCGCGCATTGTTCAGCCTCGCCGCGCAAGCGGCGAGGCGAACGCTGCGACGGAAGGCTAACCCCTTTGGAAGAACAAAGAAATCATAGCACGCATATGTGAGTACTCCAGACAGTACTTGGAACGCTGATTTGCCTCCGCTCGCGATTGGTAAGATCCGGAGAACCGAATGGGTATTGATTATCGACTACCCCAGCAGCTCGTGACGTCATATCAACGCAGACGTACATTTCGCGCCTACCGTATCCAAAAAAGGCGGCGTGCTTACCGAAGTACAATAGCACCAGAAAATGAGAGTAAGGTAGATTAAAAAAAAATAGAAGAAACAAAGAATTCAGAAAAATTAACGATACAAAAAACTACAATAAAAAAGATAAATCCAAGATAGACAAGAAGACTCGCGCCAGATACTCTACAAAACTCGCGGAAGGCCTCCTTTTGGTTCTTATAGAACACTTGCTTTCTATTGGGCAAAAATTTCCAAGACGATAATAATCGCAGAAACGTCCGCATACCACCAGGCCACTACCTGAAATACACCATGAAATCATCTGGGATTATGCTGGCTTACAGGCAAATCGTGGGATTGGATACTCTTTTCTTAAAGAGAGAAAAAAGCTAAAGCATGTCAAAATTTGAAGAAAAATCGGCGCCTGTCCGTAGATGGCGCGCCCGTCGTGACTGCGACGTGACTGCGGAATCAATGTCATTTTCATAATATTTCGCGTTAGAATGTAGTCGATTTCCACGTCCTCGGCATGGGGCTTTGCGAGCTATGCAATAGCGAATATCCAGATGGAGGAGAATCGAAATCAATCCATGAGGTAAGCCAATTTGTGGGTATTTTGCTTTGTTTGGAAAAAAAAAACTTCAAAAGCGAAGGGTTTGAAGATTTTCCAAAATAATTTGAGTCCGGAAGGACGGACATAAAGATCTTTACCGAACGGTCAATGGTCTCAGGAGCTAGAATGGGCCTAAGAACACTGTATTTGTGGTCGTTGACGTTCAACTGGTGCTCTTGTTGATTGAATTTGATCCTAAAGTCAAATTGCTACGATGTACATAGTGAATTTATTCTCCGCAACCGTACGCTCTCCCACTAGGACACCCACACTTCTAGGTACTCTACTACAGAGAAAGTGATCAGTTTTGAAGGACTCCATTCTCGCAAGGAAAGAAAAATATTGAATTTTCAAACACGTGTGAGCACGTTTATTTGATAACCTTTCGCAGTCGCCCTTAGATATCTCAAAATAATGCAGCAAACTAGGGATTACGAATAAAATTGAGGTATCAACAAAAGAAATGCAGAACATGTTAAGGAGCCTTCTGTACAGACTATCCAATAAGAAAATGAAGTAAGGTAGTTAAAAAAAATAGAAGAAACAAGCAAATTACAGAAAAATAATGATACAAAAAAACTCACACAATAAAAGCGATAAATCCAAGATAGACAAGAAGACTCGCGCCAGATACTCTACAAAACTCGCGGAAGGCCTCCTTTTGGTTCTTATAGAACACTTGCTTTCTATTGGGCAAAAATTTCCAAGACGATAATAATCGCAGAAACGTCCGCATACCACCAGGCCACTACCTGAAATACACCATGAAATCATCTGGGATTATGCTGGCTTACAGGCAAATCGTGGGATTGGATACTCTTTTCTTAAAGAGAGAAAAAAGCTAAAGCATGTCAAAATTTGAAGAAAAATCGGCGCTGTCCGTAGATGGCGCGCGGCCGTCGTGACTGCGACCAATGTCCACGTTTTCAAATATTTCGGCGTCTAGAATAGCCGAACCACGTCCTCGGCATGGGGCTTTGCGAGCTCTGCAATAGCGAATATCCAGATGGAGGAGAATCGAAATCAATCCATGAGGTAAGCCAATTTGTGGGTATTTTGCTTTGTTTGAAAAAAAAACTTCAAAAGCGAAGGGTTTGAAGATTTTCCAAAATATTTTAGTCCGGAAGACGACATCAAAGATCTCTCGAACGTCAGGCCCAGGCAGCTGAATTGCCTAAGAAATCTGTATTTGTGGCGTTGACGTTCAAACGTGGTGCTGGTGATGAAATTTTGGATCCTAAAGTCATTGCCTCCGCTTTTAGCATTGTAAGTCACCTTTAGTAGTGCTTTGATTTCTTTGCTAGCTGTTGGAGTAAATGGGAACCATTGGCCACTCAGCACTTAATTACCATTCTTTGGGCTGAACTAGATAAATTTGTCTTGCGATCAGCGACATTTTCTTTGCTCTTTGTTTCATATTAACACTCTGGCCAAGTTATGGTTGACGGAGTTCCCACAAACATGAGCTGCCTTAAGGCGCTTACATATTTAGTCGAATGTGTCGGATGGTCGATACAGTCGTGGTATTTTGAAAATCCGAAAATGTGGAGTAGTACATGTGTATCGATCGGTGGACTTTCATAGTTGGTCATCCGATCCTAATGGTCGTGTGACCAACTGTGAAACGTTAATCGCAGCTTATTTGCTGCATATAGTAACAGCTTTCCGCACGCGGAATTCTTCCTGAGGAGGCAAGGGTGGAGAGGTTGACCACGAGCGCAATAGTGTTTTGGAGAGGGTTGCTGGTAGGTCAAAGTAAGGGCGTTGTACACAGCTTCAAAGTTGCGCAGGGCCTCGTGGTTGTCAGAGAGGGGTCGATTTACGACGATTCTGCGAAAACTTCGGAAGGAACCGTTAAGTGAAGTAGCTACTTCTTTCCCTCCCCTCAATTCCCTTCTACCGTTGAGCGAAAAGGTTGGGGGGGGGGAGTGGCGGAGCTGGAGTATGTCGCCAGGCTTCAGAATCAGATACTGTTTCGTACATTATAGAAACAAGAAACAGGCATAGTGGAGTGTGGTGGCGGAGGGGGGGGGGGGGGGGGGGAGAAAAGGGTGCACTGGGAGTCTTCCCTCCGAGGCTGATGGGGTGAGTGAAGTCGTTTCGAGACCATGCAGTGGTGGCGGGGAGAGGTCGCAAAAGTTTTTGAAGGTGTCGAGCTTGAGGGTTCA